ACGACGACTAACTATATATATATATATACACACACACACATATATATATATATAATATATATATATATATATAACTATATATATATATATATATATATATGTATATATACCATACATACATACACACACACATACATACATACGTACGTACATACATATATACATACATATATACATACATACATGCATGCATACATACTTACATACATAAATACGTACATACATACATATATTTATAACTACATAAATACATACATACATACATACATACGTACATACATACATGCATACGTACATAAATACATACATACATACGTACATACATACATGCATACGTACATAAATACATACATACGTACGTACGTACATACATACATACATTCATACATACATACATACATAATTACATACATACATACATACACACATACACACACACACATGTATTTATACATGTATATATATATACCTATGTTGTACTGGACCCACACACAAGCGGTGGGTGAGTTCTCGCCTGATAATGTCGCGAGTGGTGACTTGGCCCACCCCCACCTGGTATCGTTCAGCCACCAGTGCAATGACCAGCAGCAAGTAGTGCTCCAGCAGCGAACCTCGCACGGCCGAACGCCCGTCATCGGCTGTGTATGGGAATAGAACAGGATATAAATATAACAAGAGCACAATATATAAATAGAACAAGATATATATAGAACCCAAGGATGGATGATAAAAACAGCCGTAGGTAGTGCTCCAGCAATGCCCGTCGTCGGCTGTGTATGGGAATAGAAAAGGATATAAATACAACAAGAGAACAAGCTATATATAGAACCCAAGGGTGAATGACAATAACAGCCTTAGGTAGTGCCCCAGCAACGCACGTCATCGGCTGAGGGTGTAAATAGAACAGGATATAAATAGAACACAGGTGAATGTAAATACCAGCAAAGGGCATTTGCTAAAGCAACGACTTTTCCACTGCGGAACGCCCGCCATCGGCTGTGTATAATGATAGAGCAGGATATAAATAGAACAACGATACGGCTGTGCAGTATATTGATAGAACAGGATATAAATTGCGGCTGTGCATATAGAAAGAATGGTACATACTTCGACCAATGGTGAGAGCTTAGTGCGGATGTGTTTGAATACCACGTGCCTGTGTGAAGGCTGCTACTTTAGTGGGGTTCTGGATACAAAACAGTGACCAACGTACAATGTACGCTACGTAGTATTTGTACTTGCAGTGTTCATCTCGTAGCGAGCTATACTACACCTCAAAACATACCATCGCCCCACGCATACAAAATATCCTATGCACACGTTGTAATATACACTAGAACTGACAGAATATGTCTATACACAAGCACCATTAAACACGTCATTAGGACTGTTAGTTATACAGGTTAATGCGCATTGAATATTCTTATATCGCAGTGGCATAATCACGAGATCGCCAGTATAAAACTGGTTGTACCCCACGTTGCAAGTCCAGTAACATATATCAGTTTCATGTTTTTGTGTGTGGGGTGCTCCTGATATTCTAATGGCGACTTCATGGAAGTCGGTGGGTATCACATGAGTGTATACGAGTGTATGGCGATGGTGTGTGGGGTGCTCCTGATATTCTAATGGAGACTTCATGGAAGTCGGTGGGTATCACATGAGTGTATACGAGTGTGTGGCGATGGTATGTGGGGTGCTCCTGATATTCTAATAGAGACTTCATGGAAGTCGGTGGGCATCACATGAGTGTATACGAGTGTGTGGCGATGGTATGTGGGGTGCTCCTGATATTCTAATGGAGACTTCATGGAAGTCGGTGGGTATCACATGAGTGTGTACGAGTGTGTGGCGATGGTGTGTGGGGTGCTCTTGATATTCTAATGGAGACTTCATGGAAGTCGGTGGCATACTCACATGCACCATTAAACACACCATCGTCCCCAGGCATTGTCGGTGGTAGACCCGTCTGCACCGCGCCATCGGTCCACCCATCAGGCCCAAAAATAGGTGGCATTCCAGGAGGCACAAACCCGGGATGGTCTAGGTCAGTGTCTGAGTGGGTGGGTGTACAGATACGTCAAAGATATATCGTGGGTCGGGTATATAAAGACACACAAGTATTGTGGGTGGTGTGTGTATAGCTGGTGTAATGCCGGCGCGATGTATACTGTAAGTGTGGTGAACATAGTAAGAGGTGTGTACGTACAGCAAAGGGGATTGCAGGTGCCTATGTATATCGATGATTGGATTAGAAGTGCGGATATACACAGTCAACAATACACCACAGACAAAACTTGACTTAAGTGGATCCCCTTATGTTCTACTACGCTCTATTCGCCCATTTAATTGCCTATGAGACGGATGAGTTTGCTGCTGGCTTTCAGCTGACAATGGACAGGAGGTATGTATATCCCCTTATGTTCTACTACGCTCTATTCGCCCATTTAATTGCCTATGAGACAGTCGAGTTTGCTGCTTGCTGTCAGTTGACAATGGACAGGGTGTATGTACGAGGGGTATGGATAGATGTACATGCGCGAATGACAGCCCATCACCACACAGATACCCCTGCAACACCACACAACCTTACAACGCCACACATAACTCTTGTTACACAACAACACCCCCCGCATCGGCTCGGGTGTACTTAGAACCCTAAACCCTAAAACCATAAACCCAAAATCCTACCGCTGTTATCGTCGCTCTCCCCATCGTCACTGTCATCGTCGTGGTCGTGATCCATGGCATCGTAGAAGTCTTTTGTCGAAAGGAGAGTAGTCGAAAGGAGTATAAATAGATACTTAAACATCGGCTATAGGTAGGGATAAGGGGTATAAATAGATACTTATACATCGGCTATAGGCAGGGATAAGGGGTATAAATAGATACTTAAAACATCGGCTATAGGTAGGGATAGAACTGGGAAATGTAACAAAAAGGGTACTATCACATCACAGATTCAACATGCATAAGAATTACAGTATCACATTAAGATACCCATATGTGTACAGTCATATTTCCC